CTCTTTTTGTACCTCTCTCCTCGTCACATCTCACGAAAGGAAATAGCCACCCTTGGCAGTGGGAGAACACTGCCAGAGCGCCGGCCTCTGTCTCTGACAGGGACTAGTGTCCTCAATGTTCGGAATTATTTCCCGGTCTCTTGTTTCACCGGGTTATTTGCCTGAAATCAGGGAGAGCTGACGTATGACCCTCGTTCCGTGATGGATGGCGACCAGCGTCTCTCATCCTTTCACAGATAGGTCTCGACAAGTCGATTGAGGCGCTGTTTTGATGTAGACGCTGCTTTGATCTTCCTCTGATGTGTATGTAGGCTGAGAGGGGGCACCCTCCCCTAACATGTGGTTGATTGCCCATTTATGATCTTTCATCGATGTACAGACCGAGGGGGGCGCCTCTCNTCACAGATAGGTCTCGACAAGTCGATTGAGGCGCTGTTTTGATGTAGACGCTGCTTTGATCTTCCTCTGATGTGTATGTAGGCTGAGAGGGGGCACCCTCCCCTAACATGTGGTTGATTGCCCATTTATGATCTTTCATCGATGTACAGACCGAGGGGGGCGCCTCTCACTGTCATATGATCGACAATGGTGATCGGGGTTGTAGACGCGCCCCGTTGCTAACAGCAGCTGGATACAGTATGGGATCCTGCTGCTGGGAGGGGGTTACTTGTGAAGGAGCAGCAAAAAATGTCTTGGTCCAGTGTCTCTCGAAGCGGCGGACCGCTTGTGGTTGAGATACTGCTTGATCTTCCAATTGGTTGATCGCCTTCTTTAACATGCCATAGAGCGATGTAGCGTTAGGTTTTACGTTTTTCCGCTGCGATTTGGCATTGGTGCTTGTGGCTTTGGGCGCGCCGCGGTGCTGACAGCAGCTTGATACAGTAGGAATCCTGTTGCTGGGAGGGGACTACCTGAAAAGGGGTAGTACAAATGTCTCACAGTTGTAGACGCGTGGGTTTGCAACGTTGTGACTGCTGTCTTGATTGTGTTGACAGTTCAATCAGCAGGATGGCCCGTGGGGGCGGAGGGTTTTGATCCGGTGGCCGCGTTTCCCTNCGGACCTGTGAATTGAGTGTTCGTGAGGTGGGTTATGCCATCCTTACGAAGGCTACTGCGGTAGTACTCATGTGTGGTTTTGAGCTATGCAAGTGCGCAAGTGCGTGGCCGTCCATCGGTCATTTGGATATTCGGGGTATCTCCGGTAGTAGAATCTTTGGCAAGTTGTCGCGCCTTTCCTGCTGTCATGTGTTCCGAGTTCCGAATGCATCTTGCGACTGTTGCTCGCGTGCCTCGGTGTTTGTGATGCACCCGGGTGCCCACTCTCTTCCGTTGCCTGCGTCTACGAGGACAACCAATGAAACGACTTTACCATCTCTTCACATTGCCAACCGGGACAACCGTGCTCATCCAGCAGCACTCGGCTTGGGGCCAATCAACAGGCGCTCAGATCGCGGCTGAAGGAGCTGGAGCCCCGCCACCAGGACCCGCGAGCAGCCCCCCACCCCCGTTGCCGTGTTATCGTCCCCCCCC